TTATATATAAAACAATATACAAATAATAAATAGTTTTTTATATATATAATAATTTTTTAGGAAAAAAATACATATATCACGCATATATATAAAACATATATATACATATAAATATATAAAATAAATGTACAATTAATTTTGTGGAAAATAAATGTGTAATTAATTTTTTGGAAAATAAATGTATAATTAATTTTGTGGAAAATAAATGTGTAATTGATTTTGTGCTTATAATAATTAATATATGTATATGAATGTGTATCATTTTTAAAATTTTGAAAAGTTTAGGGTTTTTTTAGATAAAAAAAAGTATAGGGTTTAAATTGTGATGAAAAAAAAGTAAAGGGTTTTGTTTTGGATTATCCTTTAGGTATATGTTAAAATTTGCAAAGTTTAGTTTTTATTTGTGAATTTCAATATAGTTGAATATTTAATTTGGAAGTGAGATAGTTAAGTATTTAATTTGGAAATTTGGTTAAAATTGAGTATTTAATATGTGAATCTCCCTTAAAAATAATATATAAGATATTATGGATCTTTGGTCGAGTACCATTTTTATATCATATGGTTATTTATGAATATGTTTTCATTATATATTTCGTTTTATATACTTTATTATATTAATTTAGCTGTATATTAATTGAAGTTTTAGTAGATTGATTATGTAAGTCCAAAACAAATATCGCCACGAACCATTTTGTATAATGCCAAATGTGTATACTTTATATTTTAAATATAATTTTTTAAGAATGTATATATATATATATATATGTTGTATCTTCTAAAATAATTATTTGACAACTATCTTTTGCATAATAACGAAACATGAAATATTGTCGAAGTTTATAGCAAGCTAATTAATACCACGAAAATTTATTCAGGTAACCAAAAAACGAGATGTGGGAAAAAAAAAAAGAAAACATTCGAAATGTATGATAAATGATTTAAATACAATTTTATAAATGAAATATGTGACAACAGCAGTTAATTTCTTCATAAGTTCATTATATATGAGAGAACTCGAATTTCGTCGCACATTTTTTAAATGCAGACTTTGGTATCCTTATTATTTGAAAAAGAAGATGAAAGCATATATTTTTTTCCCCCAATTTCAGAATAATAATTACTAGAATTCATGAAGGCCCACATAGATCCCTATCGGTCTTATGATTAACTCATGGGCCAAGAAAGGGCCCATAAAAAAGATTCATTGAAAGTTGAAACCGTTCCGGTATGAACCGGTTCGGTGTTCGGTACAGATGTTTGAAGTTTTATTAACTTTTATTTGCGGCAAGAAATTATATAAAATCATACAAAAGATATGGCCTAATATATTATATATATAGACGGAACAAGTAGCATATTAATTATTATATATTTCTCAAGGGCTTCCAACTATCGAGGATTTGTCCACCAATAAATACACTTTTTTTTTTTTTTTTTTTACCTAAAGCGCCCTATTTTCACTTTGTTTTTTAGTAATACTGTCCATTCGTAGACCTAGAGAGTTCCAAATCTCACGTGCATGCATGCACGTGCATTCTTCAAAGGGTCATTTATGTTCATACACACTTGATTTGTAGGTTTTTCATTTTTTTTTTGTAAATTGTCCATTCGTAGACCTAGAGAGTTCCAAATCTCACGTGCATGCATGCACGTGCATTCTTCAAAGGGTCATTTATGTTCATACACACTTGATTTGTAGGTTTTTCATTTTTTTTTTGTAAATAAAAACCTATAATGCATGTGTACAAATTATAATGGAATGAGCATTGCTCTTTTATATGCATTGATTTTCGGTTTAGAGTCGTATTCGAGATATAGAAGTTATAATTAAGTCGATCACTTAGGATCGAAAATGAAAACTATGTATAAATAGATTTCACGAATTAAAACATATCTAAATTATTTGTTAAAATGTTTACGTAACGTATGTATTATCGATTATGTAATTAGTTAATTAGTTAAAGAGATATAATCGAAAAAACTTGAAGATATATATAAAATGAGCAATTTTGTATGCCCAAAAGAGTGATCGTATGAAAATGTTTACCTCTAGAAGTTTCTCATGCATGGATATGCATATTAAGCATCATGGATGCGTATATATATAAGCATGCGCATACACACACTTGAATGTATATATGTGCTTATACATATATACAACTTTATACACAGTAATAACAAATCATATATTTGATGAAAATCAGAATAGAAGTATTAAAACTCTATATGTAGTATGGCTTATAAAAAATATTCACAAAAATCATTTGGTCTATATTGAGATGATTATGTAATTTAATTTATAGGGATGTACACACATCTAACACTTCGTGTGTATATATTAGGGATAAACATTTTTATCCGGTACCCGCGGATTTCTGGATATCCGGTTACAAGACCGAGTACGAGATAAGACGAGACGAAAAACTCGGTCCGCATATCCGAGTTCGGGTTTTAAAATAAAAAGGACGGATATTCCCGGATATCATTTAAACTGAAAAGACTAAATTACCCCTGTAATTATAAATATTTACAAAAATACCTAATAACACTTTCTACTTCTAACCTAACCCTAGTGCATCACTATCATTCGTCTCTCTTACCTCTTTGTGCCGTTTTCATTCTTTTTTTTTTCTTTCTTGATTTCATTAAAGAACATTGCGATTTCTTTCGAATTCCTTCATTTTTGAGGTTGTTCGTCTTTGTTTCCATCACGAAAGGTAAAGGATCCATGTTATTCCACGATTTAGGGTTTTTATTTGTGGTTTCTGTTTATTTTGGCTAGTTTTCGTTCTTTTTTTTTTTCAATTTTTCTGTTGATTTTTTCTTTTCTTTTTCAATATTTTTGTGATAATATTTGATAGTTATGATTCGATAAGTTGATTTTACCTCTTCTTCTTCGATATATTAAATAATTTGGAGGATTTTGTATCTATTTTCATATTTGGACTTAGTAATTTATATGTATTCGGACTAACATTTTAGTTTGAAAACTAAAAATTGACGGATCCAGATATCCCCGGATATCCGAATACAGACACGGATATCCGGACGTTCGGATATCCGGCTCGCACGAGAACGAGATTGAGATAATCTTCTAACATAACTCGCGGATCCGGATCCGAAGCCGGATACCCTAAAAATCGCGGGTATCCGCCTGGGCCCACCCCTATTATATATATATGTATATATATAATAAAATTACACGGTTAATGGCAAAAGAATAATACAAATGGATTACGAAGAAAGCATCTTTTGTTTTTAGCAATAAAATAAAAAGCGGGGGAAAGCGAATTGCTTTTTCATAAAGAGATGAAAACCATAGCTTTACAAACTATATATACGAAAAGCATTTAATATATTAAAAAATATTAAAAAACTATATGTTAATATATTATAAAAAAAAGTCCAAAATTAGGTATAGATCGATATTCGGAATTTGTTGTTTGTTATAAATTGTGAGGGTTTAAGGATTGGATCTGGTTTAATTCGATTATCTGACGCAAACGTCAACAAACATAAATTATCTATAACGTCGCCATTATAAGTAAATAACACACACACACATATGTGTATATATATATATATATATTATATAATAAAGTCGGATGTGAGTGGGAAAAACGATCCGTACCGGATATTATGCAGATTACGTAGCGAATTTTCCAATTTTTTTTTTTATAAAAACAAATAAGGTTTTGACATTCCAAAGGCTAACCATTGCTTCTTCGAGCATAATTTCTTTTCCAGAAAGACAAAATAAATAAAATATAATTAAGATTAGGTCAATCCCATCGTGCGTATAAAATCCCTTCGTCGGCATATAGAATTAGGACATTTATCATACTAAATATTTCTCACTAAAATATTCTGCCTTATACCAAAATAGAATTTGTTTTCATACCCTCCTTGAAAACGGTTTTTATATTAAATATGAGTTTAGCCTCGTATGCTACATAATTAAAAAAAAAATCAAATAGAAAATCAAATTTGATTCTGGATTTTATTTTTTCGATTAATAATGAGTGGAATCAATCCAGGTTTGAATTTTTATTTGGAGAAAGATATTAATATGAGTTTTATTGATCTTTTAGAAGATGTAGTTGAGTGCCGTTTTGGTAAAAAAAAAAAAATTCGAACACTAAAGTGGTAAACATATAACTTCGAAAACTAATAATTGCAAAAAAAATAAAATAAATGAGAGACTAACGATAATCGAAAACAATATGGAGACAAAATACTACGTATTATTCCTTGATTTAATATTCTAAAAAAAATATTGGATAAATCACAATTGACGAATCTCCAGCTGATGTGGAATAAGCTTGCAAGTTAGTGGCTATAATTAGTATATATACTGATTAGCATTTTCCATAAAGCTGCCTAGTTTGTGTTTTATATTAATCTAAGAAGAGGTAAAACCCTAATTACATTTTAAATATTAAATTCCATATTATTGTAAGTTTTTTTTACAGTGACGGAGGAATTCTCTTGCAGTCACCGTTGAATTGCTGTGGAGTTTTTTTTTTTTATATCAATAATACGTCTACTATTTTTTTTATGAATTACAAAAGATATGAAAAGCTCTGTATTATTTGAGTTGCTATTTATAGAGATTCATTTGAAGTCTTAAATGATCTAATTGATAAGTTACAAGATTTGTTAGATTTCATAGTAAGTTTTAAATGATTTTAGAAAATTTCGAAGAATAAATTAGAAAAAAATATAGAGAATTTATTTAATATTAGAGTTTATATTGAATGGCTGTGTGATATATGATAGATTTGCATATGAGCAAAAAATAAAAATTTTAAATTTATATACATAGGTATATTATGGTTATATTATATTTAAATACTTTACACATAATGTATTTTCTCAAGAATGCATTCTACGCAAATATCTGGATCCGCACTGTTGACCTTATTGAATAAAAAAAAAAATCAATTACATGAAGTCATATTATTAACAATGTGTACACACATGCACGAAGAAGAGGCCGACACGCAGAGAGGATTATCCACTTCTAATTAGCCGAACGAATATAATTAGAGAATTGTTAAAGAAAAAGATATCGTTCAATATTCACAAAGCACCCCGATATATATAATACATGTGTGTTACAGGCTATGCGTGCGTGTGTATATGCGTGGGGTTATATGCATATATAATACATCTATTTAAGATATTAGAGGGGACCATGATTCGTTTCAAAAATTTTCCAGAGTTTTTTAATGAATTTTGCCAATGTGTAATTGCTAAGTAACACACACACACACACACATATAAAAGTGATGAATGTGGTGGTGATGATGATGATGATCTTCATGCATCATAGATATCATATCATTCTAGTTATATAAAGATAGATAAGACATATGTCTAGATATATAAAGAGACTCCTATTTGATAACAAGGAAGTAAAAGAGGTTCATAGCTTTCTTAAACTATGGTTTCCAAATCATTTTATCCCCACTGGCCCCAAATGAAACATATAAATCCGTGTACAATATTTTGTAAGCCACTGAGAATTTCACAATTCCATGATGATTTGCATGCTTCATGCACATAATGTCATAACTTGTATCTTACACATATACATATGCAAGAGTGTGCACATGAAACATATAGAAACAAACATATATGGACAAAGAAAGACAAGGGTCATACCAGATGACTCTTACAGAATCCAACTTGAACCCAAAAAAAAACAAAAAGACGTAGAAAGTTGTTTCGATCGCGAGTTATCTACTTAATGGATGGTTATGAAATTAATGGTGATAAACATACACCATGCATATCATGTCATGCTTGCCATCATATGCACAAAATGCAACATGCATAAATCAAACATCATGCATACATACATACATATTTACACGCATAGAGAGATAGACTTAGATAAAGGTGGAACTTATAGAAGCAGCTAGAAGTTCATAGCTAAAAGACATCCTATATTATATATATACATACATAGGCACATACACACACGCACACACACACACACATATATATATATATATATATTATATATATAAGGTATAAAAGGGAGACAAAAGGGCTAATAAGTTTCGTCGAGGGTCGTGAAGAAAAAAAGGAGAATGACAGATGAAGATAGGTTACTTCCAATAGCCAATGTGGGGAGAATAATGAAGCAAATCCTACCACCAAATGCAAAAATCTCAAAAGAAGCAAAGCAAACAGTGCAAGAATGTGCAACTGAGTTCATAAGCTTTGTTACCTGCGAAGCCTCTGACAAGTGCCACAAGGAGAATCGAAAGACGGTGAACGGAGACGATATCTGCTGGGCTCTCAGCACTCTCGGCCTCGATAACTATGCCGATGCCATGGGAAGGTATCTTCACAATTACCGAGAATCTGAACGGGAAAGAGCTGAACAAAACAGAACTGATGACGAGGAACCGAACAGTAGAAGCGAGCTTCAGAACCAGCAGATAGAGGGAGGGAGAGTCTTTGAGAAGGGAAGCAGCTCATCACGCAACTAGTCCCCCTGAATAAAGGTGAATTCTGTAAGCTATTTTTCAGGATATTATTGACACCAAGAAAAATGACGATAGTAAACAGTATCTTCATAGTCGAGAGTGTTATATTGTTATTACATGTACATGTATGTATCTGGGTCACAGACAGACAAATGAACCAAAAAGAAATCTGCAGGGTTGATTATTTTCTTCAAGGAAAAAGGGGTTTTCTTTCTTCTTCTTTTAGCTTATAAGATGATTATACTTGGTTTCTTTGGGTACTAAACCAGTTGAAGCTGCCATGTATGCAACTAGATAGGCTACTCATGGATCCATTACCTAGTAATTTTATGCATGGTTATAGCAAGGTTTACTCAATTTCTGGTTTCTGAAATCGCTACTGAAATGCTACCGGGAAAATTCAGTTCAAGCAATTTCCAATACGGAGTTGCATCTATTGAGAAACCTGAGTGAAGCAGCTTAGTAGAGGCAGCAAGTGAGAAACAAGGAGCTACTGTCTATGCAAGCTTGAATTAGAATATACTAACCATGGCTACTTCCAAGGCACCAAAGAGTCTATCTCAGCTGTTTGATGTGTGTTCATAGTCCTCCACATGTCTTCTGAAGCTGCTGCACCTAATCTTTACCGAAACAAGAGAAGAGCTTTCAGTATATGAATTTTACAGTGCAGTTCTTAACCAACATACATATCAAGTGTATAATCTAACAGTAAAGTAAAGTTTGTCAACACTTTTCAAAGCTGAAAACCTACTGATATGGCTCTACCAATAAACATTTTTGGTAAATTCTCCAAAAGTTCAGTCATTTGAGTTCTTGGGAAGATCACTTAAAAGTTTATATGGACAAGAACTTAAGAGTTCCCAGGTTTAGTCAACATGAAAGTAAGCTGATACAGACAACTAAACCGAGGAAATCTTGAATCAAAGTCCATTTTTCTTCCCTGGTAGAACAGCCAATAGCACACGAAGTCTTTACTCAGAAACAACAAAGTCCTATCTATGGATTTCTGTGTTAAACCAGTTGGATGCTAGTTTTTTTCCAGCCACGTGACAGTCAAAGAGGGTCTAGGTTTTGAGTATAAATACGAGGTTCAGCGTTCAAAAACCCTAGAATCAGGGGACCACAACCTTCTGGGTTTCCGCAAAGAAAAATAAAACCTAAAAATATATATTTCAAGATTTTAAATATTTAGGCATGCTCGCTTTATAGTTATCTGCAAATGGGATTATTTAAAATCTTATAAAAAAAGGTATACTAAAAATTTTCAGAGTGAAGGCTTCAAACACGCAACTATAGTTTATCTGAGTCCTCATGGGACCACTTCTCAACTATATTGTGTTCTGTCTAGTGACCAAGAAGAACGAATCACATAAAGAGTATGGGGAAGGCTTACCACTAAGATGTGTTTTCTCGTTGAAGAAGAAATAACACTGCAAATGAGATTAGTGCGTGAGACAAAAGCTTAAAACTCACACATCAAGAACTTTTTTATCCATAGCACTTTTTGGAGAGCTTCACATTAATTTAGTACCAATGAGGTAATAGGCAATGTTTTCCAAGGTACGGATGGCTTCATAAACATCAAAAACTAAATGACCAACCATACCTATGCCGTATCTGTCATGTATGTGGGGAATGATGCTAGGGATAGATGTTGCTTCCGCTGGTTCAGACCAAGGAATCACGGCATTGAGCTTCATAACTACAGCCAGCTGCCACTGCACAGGCAGGCACCGATGCCTCGGGAACCATGAATGATAATAATTTAAGGTAATCACAGGGTACACATCACATCCGGTGTACCCGTTTGGAAGGACAAAGAGAAAAATGATGATGACAAGTCCATGTGAAACAAGACAGCTTGGCACGGAAATGAACATACAGTTTCTCATGTTGCGGCATGAACAGTGACAGTAACAAAGTGCATTGATCTTACAAATCAAATGAATCTAACCTCTGATGGTCCATGGAAACAATTAGGTGCATCAAATAAGTTTTTTCCAATGTGTTGCAATCATGTATGAAATGCATGTATGTCAAAGTCCATCCAAGTGAAAAAGAAGGTCTCTTATAGCTTAATGTTGCCAGAATATGATACTATGTTGGTTATGAAAAGTAGCCAGCTTAGTCGTTTCACATCATTAAAAAAAATTACGAGGAAAGACCTAACAAGTATCCAAACTAATATCATGAATATAAGCTTGCAGTTTGTCGAAATGGCAGATTAGAGGAAGAGCAGTTCCTTTGTTGCTCAGTTAGTTTGATATCCATGTTTCCTCTACAGCTGGTGATAGCCAAAGCAAAACAAGCAAACAAATAGATCATCCAATTGAGGCAACCCATTCAGAACGATAAAGCACGATAACTACATGTGTATAGAAGGCAAGAAGCAAAGAAGGTGAAACAAAATATAAGCAAATGTCAAACTATTAACGAAGAAAGAAGGCTCAAATTATGGAATATTTTCAGAGGATGATCATTGGATTGAATAAAAATCAGGTCCTGAAAAACCAAAACATCTATAAGTCCCCAACCATAATCTATATCATGTCCATCCCAGTAGTCAGTTATAGTCATTGGAGAACAAGAATTTCCAACTACATGACAAGGAATCTTTCCAGCAAACATATTCAAAGGTACAACTAAGTAATTATGACAGCCATGACTTGCAGGAAACTTGCCTTTGTAGGAGCTGCTCATGTTGTGAAAGCATGTCACTGCAGAAAAGAACCCAAATGCATTTCACACCGATTATAATGTTACGAACTCCGCATATATAAATTTTTTTCCTAATGGGACTCGGGAAACCACAGGTTTTAAATGAATACAATCCTACAAAACATTTCTCTCCCGATTTTTCTGGAGATCTTCAATTATGGGGAAGAAAATACAGATGTTTTGAAGAGGGAAAAAGAATGAACCTCGATGAAATTTTTCGGATCGAAAAGTATACTGAGAGCTGCTTCCTTTTGATATCCTTCCTAAACAGAAACCCAAAATGTCGATGATTATCCCTGGATAGCACAGCAAAAAAGAATCAATACTCGAATAATTAGGTCAATGCTCCTTGAGAGAGATAAGGATGGGCATTCAAACTCCAGATTAGCTCTCTTGATCTTGTGTGTTCGTCAAAACCCCCAGTTTGTGATACAAAGAAGACACGTTTTTGAGCATTTGCTTTCATGGCGGGAAGGCAAGTGACAGTGAACCAGAGCCAGAGAGAAATCTATCACATCACAGAATCCCCAAGTCTGATTTTCTAACCATATCAAGTTCTAACAATGTGACTGCTCCAAATGAGCATGTCCTTGGAAGCAAACACGGAGAGAATGAAATTTACGTCTATACTTACAGAATTTTCCCGGAAAGCAAACACCGCCTAGTACTTAGCAAACTTCGGATTCCGAGAGGAATAAATCCATAAGTAAAGCAGAGCTATTGCTTGGCCATCGAGAAAATTGAGTACAGAACAAAAGGCATGAGCAGAAAAACTTTTCCAAGGAAAAAGCAGCCGAAAGTTTTCTCGAGAAAATGAAAATTTCCTATCGTTCTCCAGAACAAACACAGTTTATAGATTTTATAAGCTTGGAGCGGCGAAATCGTTTCAGCAACTTACGGTAAACCTACCAAACCAAATGCTCGAATTCTACTTCTCGTGCACCAAAAATTTCCCGAGAAACAAACAGATAGTGTTTTCAAAAGACGTTTAGAAGCATTACCACGAAGAAAAACCATTGTGAAGAGCAGAGAGTTTCGGAGACGACGCTTGGAGAGATGAGAGACGCCATGGAAGCTCTTGCCGTCGTACCTCCCGACACGTGTGACGCTCTTTTACCAACAGAATCGATAATACGACGTGTCTCGGTAAATCTTCTAAACGAAATCAATTTGTCTATTTTGTTTTAATTATTTATTTATCGTTAATCACAACATTTACCCAAATATTACTTACCCAGAAATTTAACCCTCGTGAAAAAGCTAATTTTGCCATTTATATTATACATTATATTATTTTAGTTAATTTAATTGAATACTTTGTCTTTTTCAAATTGTTTGTTTACTTTTCTGTATAGAAATTAACCATTTGTACATTATATAATATATAAAACTAATTAGTAACAATTAACAAACAAAGCTACATTCTAAGGAAAAATATGATTACAACTTTTTTCAAATTAACGAAATTGGGTTTTGTATATTTAGTTTAGATCTTTATGATAAATTTCAATCATATCTCGTGTCTTAATTAATTGTTTTTAATTTATAATATATATAATTTTATTAACATAAAGGAATAAACCCAAAAAAAACCTTCAAGTTTTCTATTCACATAAAAAAAACCTTCTACTTAAAATTCATCATAAGAAACCATCAATTGTTAATTTAGAGTAAAAAAGACCATTAACTATATTAAATTTTAAAAACAATCTTTCACTTTAATTTTGTTATAAAAAACATCAATATTAATTTTAATAAAAAAATTAATCATCTATCTACATTACTCAAAAAATATTTTATTTTAAATTTATTATAAAAATCTATAAAATTTGAATAAAAAACATATATAAATTATATAATTCTAAAAATCACAATAAAAACATAATATTTATTTAAATTTATTATAATGTAATATTTAAAATTTATATAAATATTTATACATATCAATCTTTACATAATAAATTTATATACAAATGTTACACTTAAAATTCAGTATATTTTATTAGTTGTAAATAATATATTTAAAATTTTATTATATATTAATATTTGAGAGATTGTAAATTGAGTATATTTTATTGGTTATATGTTTTTATGTTTAAAATAGAATATATTTTGAGAATTTCAAATAGTGGATGATTTTTTTAAATTATTATATAAATCTATAAAAAAAATTAAATTTGATTATTTGCAATCTCTAAAATAATAGTATATAATAAAATTTTAAATATAATATTTACAACTAATAAAATATACTCAATTTGTAATCTCTTAAATATTAATATATAC